TTAGACTTCTCGAGGGCTGAGCCCCCTGGAATTAGTGGTAGATAGGCTGCTTTCCTGATGGTATACAGTATGTGTAAGTATACAGTATTTTACTGAGCCTGGCTTATCCATGTTAAAAGGTATGATCCAATCTTCTTTGATTACTCCTTTTGATAAACATGCCTGTAGGCCCATTGCACTTATGTACAGATGTTGTAACTGGCGAAGCAAATATACTGTGCACTGTATCTGTTTCAAGTGTGTTATGCACAGATATATTGTTGATTTTCTTTTTAAGTATTTTTATTAATAAAGCACTCTTTGATTAAAAAGAAAAAAATATGTCTTGCAGAAAAAAAGATGGCTGCAGAAGGAGCTTCTACATTCCGTTGTGAAAGCATCGGTTTCAACATGCTCAATTGCCTTGGCACTATTATATCTGTGCAATCAACAATGCTTGCTGAAGAGAGCAAACCAAGATAATGCACAGCTGTAATGGTGACAAAGGATTAGCCGAAAGTACCTGTGTTCATTTCGGAGTGGGTTCACTGAACATTACTGAAGTTTGGGATCAAATTAGAACCCCAGTGGAAGTCAATGGGAGCCGAAAATTAAACAAAAAAAAAATAATGTATTGGCCATTTTCCCAGCCTAATAGGCAAGGGAATGTCAAACAAAAGGCATGGGGGCTGGGCAATGCCCTGAAGAACATGTACAAAAGCAAATAAAAACGTTTATTTTAATAGAGCTTAAAGGGCAACATTAAAAATGTGAAATTGCTTTAAACAACATACCTGGGGGATGCCTTAAATCTGCCTGTGAAATGGTACATCTGTGCGATGTATACAACCTACTACAGCAAAACTGATATTTACAAAACAAAATATACCCTTCATCTATATCAGACCCTTACCCTAGCTGGAGGTAAAGATGTTGATGGGTGACCCTAAACAAAAAAAAACATGAATGACAGCTCATCAGCTGTCATCTAGAATCGAAACAAAGGGGTAGGTTATACCTGATGATGTATTCGATCAAATACTCCCATTGCCAGGGTGAGGTCACTGGTTGCTAAGGATGTGACGGGTGCCATCACCTGGTGTTTCATTAATAATCAATGATAGTGGAAGAACGAAGCAGTCATGTATAATAGAGGTAGGAAAATGTACTTTATATGCTGTTTAGCTGGTTCAGAATGGACTAAACATTCTGGCGTTTGGATGAACACTTGAACAAGCACCAGTTAGAGCTCATCCCTAGTGGTGGCAAGGCAGGAGGGCATGTCACTACTGCATTCATGTGGTCCAAATACAAATACTACCACTGATGTGTTAAACCATGGTGCTCAACTTGTGGCCCATCATACCGCTGCCTTTGGAAGTCATGCCTGTAACAGTCAGCCTTGCAATGCCTCAGGGGGCTTGTAGTTTCGCAACACCTAGAAGGCCACAGATTGAGCACCCATGGGTTAAACTGTATGTAAAGCCAACACTTTCTTTTAGATTAGAGTGATGAGGAATTATCAGCTTTTCATTGTTGTCTGTGTTTCTTCTAGCAAAATTCACTGAGTAAAAGTGAGAGAAAATCCTATATTTATAGTTGTCACCAGGAATAGGAATAGAAAGGAAATCTTCCAATGGTGAAAACTTGTCAGATAACAAATGTCAAAGAAGGGATTTCCCTCACTTTTGGAGAGATTTCCTTTTACTTCCCGATGTGCAGTAATTATAGAAAGGATGTGATGAGAAATTTCCTCAATGGAACACAGCAAAAAATACAAAAACACACTCCACTTCAAAATTAAAAAAAAAAAAAAAAAGTTTTGGCTTTAGATACTCTTTAATGAATAATTAGGGGGGTGATCAGCATTTGAAACTGAACAGTCCTGTTTACTGTATATTATCTACCTCCCATATAACAAACTATCATATATTTGTAAATGTTATCACTATGAAGCAAACAAGCTACACAAAACAGCAACACCACCGGAGTATATTCCTTTATATAGTAATGTTTTCATTACATAGCAAAGGATACAGCAAGGGTCATTGGATTGGAAAAGGACATAAATCTGTATTTCTAATAAATACATTTTTTTTCAAAACCATATTGAAGCTTATTCAACATGTATTTTCTCTAGCTGCTAAAGTCCCTTACCATTTGTTCTCTTTAGTACTGGAATACCATTGTGTCTGCTACAAACGTTGTTGCATTCTTTTCTATTTTAACTCTCTGCAGCTGTCAAAGAAAAATCATCACCCTGAAAGGTTTATCCCCCTCTATGGTGGAGTATTCTAGGAATGACCACTTTGAATGGAGACATTTGGGTAGGTGGGTGTTGTAGGGTCTGTTTACTAAAGTCTCTCTGTTGCTAAATTTACACACTAAGATGCGTTCGGATTAATCCCTCAATGGCTGGATATGTGTCCAATATATATATTCCGTAATTCAGATTACATAGATAGCATCATTTTGGCATTTAGATCGTTTAAACCAGACAACATAAGGCCAAGTCACAGAAGGGTAATGACTGCATATTTCTTAAAATAAAATAAAAGACTGTGCACTTTTTTAAATGACAAGTCCACCAAAAACTGATGTTCGGTTCTGCACTTAATTTGTTGGACTGAATGTCATACTGGATTCTTTTAGGGACAGCTGGGGTTAGATTTCACTATCAGAGCTTTTTGCTTTGCGATTAGGTATTAGTATAATTTTCATATTTTTAAATGGACTGTATAATGTTTTGGAGTATATATTTATTTCAGACAGTTAAAACGTTTATCACCTTAATGCATTCCTTGCATTAAAGTGATTGTAAAGTATCACATAAAAAAATAACAAACAGATTTATACTTACCTGACCTGCTCTGTGCAGTGGTTTTGCACACAGCAGCCCCGATCTTCCTCTTCTTGGGTCCCCCACTCCAAGCCCATCCCCCATGCAAAGTGCCTCTGTAGCAAGCCGCTTACTATGGGGGCACTTGTGCAGACTCTCTCCTGAGCTGGATTTGTGTGTCTATAAGACAAACAGAGTACGGCTCCCTGCTTACTTTCTGTGATTGACAGCAGCGGGAGCCACTGAATCAATGAAAGGGAGAGAGCAGAGAGCCTCTGTTCTTGTGCACATCACTGGATCAAGATTGGGTTTAGGTAAGAATAAAGGAGGGGCTGGGGGAGGAGCTTCACTCTGAAGGGCTTTTACCTTAACGCAGAGAATGCATTCAGGTAAAAAAAACCTTCAGCCTTTAAAACCACTTTAACCAGGCAATTTTTTGCGATATGGCACTGCGTCACTTTAAATGAAAATTTTGCGGTCATGCAACGCTGCACCCAAATTAAATTTGTCCTTTTTTCCCACAAATGGAGCTTTCTTTCAGTGGTATTTGATCGCCTCTACATTTTTTATTTTTTGCGCTATAAACTAAAAAAGACCAACAATTTTGAAAAAAAAAAAAATTTTTGACTTTTTGCTATTAAACATATCCAGTGAAAAAAAAAAAAAAAAATCTGATTTTGTCATAAATTTAGGCCAAAATGTATTCTGCTACATGTCTTTGCTAAAAAAAAATCCTAATACATGCAAATTAATTGGTTTACGTGAAAATTATAGCATCTACAAATGGCGATATACATACTGGAATTTTTTTTTTTTTATTTCATACTAGTAATGGCGGCGCTCAACGACTTATAGTGGAACTGCAGGACTGTGGCAGGAATTCTGACACTGGGGGGAACTGACTAAATGCCACTGACATCCCCACTGACACTAATACAGTGATCAGTGCTAATAAAAAGCACTGACACTGTACTAATGACATGTGAGCAAGAAGAGGTTAACGTCTGGGTCGATCAAAGGGTTGCTGTGTGCTGTTTTACTATTTTGTCTTTGTATGCTTTACTGTAGGTGAAGGTGTAGGTTCCCATTCCCTACATCTCTTCCAACATTCTGCTAAATCTTTGTTTCAGTACTGCTTAGACCTGCAGAAGGGGACAATCCCTGAAAGCTTGTCCTCAAAATTGTATGTTAGTGCAAATAAAAAAAGTATCACGGACAGTACTCAATTGTTCCTATGCTTTACTGTGTAAGCACGCTGCTTTGTATTGCTCTGCTATGCAGAGCAATGCAAAGCAGCATGCTGGTGCTGACATTGTTTACATACAGACCTCTCCTCTGTCAGTATTCCCAGGCAATCGCCGGGTGCCGGCGGGGAATCTCCGGCCGGGACCCGGTGATTGACAGCTGTAGCCGCCAACAGCGCGCCCCCCACCCAGGAATACAAAATCATGTATATATAATGTAGTTCTGCTTTAGGGCAGATGGAAGCGGTTAAGGTAAAAATGTTTAGGCATCAGTATCACCCCCTCACCCCCCCCCCCCCCTTTACTTACCCCTGATTCCTCATTCGATCCAGCTCTGTGCATGTCTGCAGCTCTTCTCTCCACTCACCTCCTGGTCTCACAAGCTTTGCTGAGGCAGAAAGAGCCATTGGCTCTCGCTGCTGTCAATCAAAGCCAGTGATGAGGGAGCAGGGGGCAAGTCTGAGTCCCACTGGCTGTGTCTGTAGACACCTGCAGTGGGGCTTGGGAGTGATTCCATACCAGTGCCCCTATAGAAAGCGACTATCTATGGGGAACTTGCCAGAGATAAAGAGCCAGGAGTATTGGCAGGGGACTGGAGAAGAGGAGATTCAGGGCCGCTCTGTGCAGTTCCATGGTTCCAGGTAAGCATAAACCTACTTGGTATTATAAAAACTGCATTTAAAATTACTGGTTGTAGTAACATAATTGTATAAAGCCCAGGGCTTAAAATTTCAAGTCCTGAGCTACTGGCCAGCCTTAGAGTTGCTCGCCACCAACAAACACACACAAACAGAGACACTTGTACACACACACAGACATGCACATACCCACACATACACACAAAAGAAACATGTACACACACGCACAGAGACACGTACACACATACAGACACATGTATACACACACAGGCACGTACAGACACGCATACACACAGATACATGTACATACACAGATATACACATGCATAGAAACATGTACATACACACAAACACATGTACATACATACACAGACACATGTACATATATACACAGACACATGTACACACAGACACATGTACATACATACACACAAACACACACATACATGTAGATACATGCAGACACATGTACAGATACACACATGTACAGAAACACACATGTACATACACACAGACACCTGTACAATTGTACATGCATACACACACACACACAACCCCCCCCCCCCCATAAAAAGTTGCAGTACTTCATTGTTCACTCACAGATCCGGGTAATGCACTCTAGGGGGAGGCAGAGAGCACAGCACACACTCCTTGCTTTGCTTTCACTGTGCTCAGCTATTGAGCAGTCTGAGGGCTCCCAGTGCCAATGACAGATCCGGCCTGAGCTCCGAGCCTGCTCAGCAAGACGGCCCTGGGGGACACACTCGCCCCCACCATAATTTCCACTCGCCATTGGCGAGCAGGCAAGTGGAAATTTCAAGCCTTGGTATAAACTACATAAATCAAATATATAAATCAAAAGTTGTTAAAATATAATTGGTCAAAATCTTTTAAGTAGGCTTCTCCTGTCGCCAGGAGACCATTGGAAACCTACACATCCCCTTCCCCACAGGAAAATATGTAGAGGCTCTTAAAGTCTCAGAGATGATGGAGCATCTGGGACATTCTCATGACATCTTTAATTGTACATTGTCCTCTCCATAATGTTATCCTACATCTGTGCATTATGGAACAAGGGTAACATCCTAAAGAGCTCAATAAAACTTCACTCCATTACACTGATAACGCATACATTGTGAAATTATAAGTGAGCCTGTTCCTAAAACAATATTCTAAAAGAATTCACAAGAATAAGGAAAGCATTATCTAGTTCATCTGTGAACTGCAACATTTATCAGTATCAGTTCATCCACCAAATCATCACACATACAATAAATGATCCAGGGTTTGATAGAGGGCATTGAAAATTAATATTACTCCAGCTTTGTCTTGCAAATGAAGGAGAGTTAAATTATATTAACATGTTTTCAGTGAAAGGTATGCTATCATATTTCCCTTATGCTGTGATATGTCTTCTTTCTAATTAGTAAGATTGGTGAGTTTCATTCTTTTTACTCTCTTGTAGCATTTCCCATGCCTGTCTTCCGGGCAAGATCTATACATGAGGACACTACCATGCCCCTTCTTGACCCTTTCCCAAGCATTTCTCTTGACTTCCTGATTCGTTCCCAGGCATTTCTTCTAACACTGTTTTCTGGAAAAGTTTTTTTTTTCTAAATCTTTTCTATCTTGAATCTTTTCTCAGGAGCTTATACTCTCCATTTTTTCCATTGCCATCCTGAAACCTTTTACAAGAGTATTATAACTGAGACGCTAGTGCTTGGCTGCACTCAGTGTCAGCAGCTGTTGCACAGTATGCAATTTACCATACCGTACAGTTACAGTGGAGAAACAAAATATACAGTATGTGCTATATTTTTTTGTGAGCACATATTTTTCAAGTACTGGAAATATATTAATCTGTCTCTACTTGCATATAATTTGTCGTTTTGAACATCTGTTGGTTTGCAGTCTTATTCACTGTTGCAATGATATCTTTCAAACTCATGTAAGCTGGTAACTGATGTGCAAGAGCTGGTTCAAAACAAACTGCATCTGCTACACAGCTAGTGCCACAGATAGTGTCCACTGACCATACTGACGCTTGTGCATTCCTCTGCAGTCGCATTTATTGGTACTGCTGGGTACTGCTGCTATAAATATTGTAATTCATCTATTACTGTGAACCTTTTATGCTCAACGGTTGTGTAGTACTGTAGAAGCAATCACACTTTCTGGGAATTCCTACATAATATTTAAAGTTCTTTACTGCACATAGAAAGAGGCACCTCCTATCCTAGCGTACTGTTTGTAAGTTTGAGTCTGGAGTAGTACTATAGATATTAGGAAAAGGGCCATTTTCTCAGTTGATTTTGACTTCCTAGAAGAGGACCAGTCTTTAAATATTGTTTATACTTTTTATGTAGGTTTTGTTATATTAAAAATGTGTTTGTATACATAGTCCACGGGCTGGATATACTTGAGCTATTGTGGTATATAGTAGTAAAATATATATATATTTTAGAATTGAGCCACTGAAAATTACTTATTGACCTTATTGAATCATCCTTGTGATCACCAACTGACACTACTAAACTGATACATGGGTCTTCAGAGCGCCATACTCATTTATATAGATGTTAAAAGTAAAAGAGAAGACATGCCAGAGAGAAGATCCTAAAAAAAAACGAATATTCTTACTGTATTAAATGAAATGGAATACAAAATGGATCTTTATTCTGTTATATAAAGTCATAAAGAAAGCCAAAAAGTAAAAAGGTTAAAAAAAGTAGCTAAAATGTAAAAGACAAAACAGCTTCCAGCTTCCCCTACCAGCTGCTCCCAATCCATGTCACTATGCAGCCATATTTCTCCCATCACTGAGCTTCCCTTTTTTAGCTTGCACATGCCCATCTCGGTGCTGCGGGAATGGGCATAGCAATGTTGAGTGTGTTCGCATGGGAGTAGAATGTCAGGGAAAGAATGGGCAAGTTACAACAGAATAACTCAGTGGTGGGAGAAATATGGGTGTGTAGTGACAGGGGTTGAGGGACAATTGGTAAGGCAAATGGTGTGCGAGGGACTAATGTTACAAAGTGCAATGGGGAGATTGTGTCATTAGAGGATGAGATGGCTATTAGGGCTAGGCCATGCAAGCAGCTCATAGTTACATAGTTAGTCTGGCTGAAAAAAAGACAAAAGTCCATCCAGTTCAACCATAGAAAAAAAAAGAAAAAGTTTATAATCCTATACCCACAGTTGATCCAGAGGAAGGCAAAAAAAACCCCAGCAAAGCATGATCCAATTTGCTCCTGCTGGGAAAAAAATTCCTTCCTGATCCCGAGAAAGGCAAACGGATATTCCCTGGATCAACTTCACTAGAGATGAGCGAATCGAACTTGGCGCAGTGGAATTCGTTTCGAATATTAGGAAAAATTCGCGCCGAATCCGAAAATTAGCAGACTTCGGATGCGCGAATCGAAATTTTTCCAAAAATGGCGGCGACATGTGTGGCGACGGAGCGGGGATCTCTGGGAAGGCGCGCAGACAAGGCGCGCTGACCCATAATGCATTCATTCATGACATGTGATCGCATAAGCCAATCAGCAGCCAGCCAGCCAGCACTGTGTAATGGTGGAGCTATAAATTGCGGCCATCTTACAATTCTCCATTTGCCTCCGGTCATTCAAGAGAGACAGACCTCTCTGTATTAGGGACAGAGTTAGGGCCACAGATACTTTAGGGACACAGAATCTTTACTTAGGGACACAGAATTGTTACTCAGGGACACAGAATTGTTACTCAGGGACACAGAACTGTTACTCAGGGACACAGAATTGTTACTCAGGGACAGACACAGAATTGTTACTGAGGGACACAGAATTGTTACTGAGGGACACAGAATTGTTACTGAGGGACAGACACAGAATTGTTACTGAGGGACACAGAATTGTTACTGAGGGACACAGAATTGTTACTCAGGGACACATAATTGTTACTCAGGGACACAGAATTGTTACTCAGGGACAAAGAACTGTTACTCAGGGACACAGAATTGTTACTCAGGGACACAGAATCGTTACTCAGGGACACAGAATCGTTGAATTAAAGAGTATGTCAGACAACATGCAGAGGAGTGGCAGAGGAGGCAATGTTTCAGGAGCGAGCAGACGTGGCAGCAGAGGAAGGGGTCGAGGCAGCACTAGTCGCAGCCAGAGGCCAGTGCTCCCGGTGTCATCCAGCGGTCGTGTCTCCACCGACAACCCTGCCGTCATCGATTGGTTGGCTCGGTCGTCTTCCTCTTCCCAGGTCACCTCTGACACCTACAGCCAACGGTCGGTGGGTACGTCAGACACAACCGTTAGTTGGCATGGCCCGGGAGCAAGCCCACTGAAATCACGTGTCCTCTACCTGCCCCTGTCCTTTGGTGTTCCCTCACCAAGCGAAGTATCGCATGCTGTGGGCTCAGCCCCACTGTACAGTGAGAAGAGCTAACAGAGGGCGGTCAGGAACGGGGGGAGACATCCGCCTCTTCAGCAGCCAGGCGAAGAAGTACTGGCGAGGAGAGTGGCTCGGTAGCCGGTCTAGAGACAGGTCTGTCTCCTGACCCACACGCAGCCGAGGGGGCTAGTAGTGACGCGGAGACCCTAATTGATGATGATGAGGCTGATCGCACTTGGCAGCCTCGTCGTCATCAGGCTATTGCTTCCGCATCATCAGGAGAAGAGGGTGCCAGCTTGCCAGCGAGCAAAACAGTCGGTGGGTTGCCCAGGAGGCAGCAGGGTCGCAGCAGTGTCAGTGGAGGCAAACAGCCACGGAGTAGAGCACCAGCTCCACTGCAGCCTACCACCACGGCCAGTAGTGGTGCCGGAGTGCACGGAGGAAGTAGCAGTCAGCCAGTGAGGAGTAGCGGGGGCAAAGTTTCCTACTCGGCGGTGTGGCAATTTTTCGTCAAGCCGTCCGAGGAAGTAAACGTAGCCGTATGTCGACTATGTGGCCAGAAAGCCAGGGGGGGCCCATGTTGGGACTACAGCGTTGCGTCAGCATATGCAGCGTCGCCATTCGGTGGCCTGGGAAAACCGTGATAAAGATACGGCGGTTCTGCCTGCCCCAGCCCCCGCTCCATCACCCGCTCCGTTACTTGCTCCGTCACCCGACGTCAATCGCCCTCTATCAGCCAGTCAAGGCTCCAACACCTCTGCTGAGGGGAGTTGTCGCTTGTTGGCATCTTCCGCTCGTTCAGATGCTCCTTCTCCTGCTACTCCTCTTCACGGATTCCGTCAGCAGTCTTTCTTGGAATCCGTTTCCAAGAGACAACAGTTTGCAAGCACGCACCCGACGGTGCAGAAGCTGAACGTCCTCCTGTCCAAGTTGCTGGTGCTGCAGTCCCTCCCTTTCCAAGTGGTGGACTCAGCACCTTTCCGAGAAATGATGGCTTGTGCCGCGCCACGGTGGAGAGTGCCAAGCCGGCATTTCTTCGCCAAAAAGGCAGTGCCAGCCCTGCATTCACATGTAGAAGAGATGGTGGGCCAGTCTTTGAGCATGTCGGTCTCTGCCAAAGTGCACGGCAGCGCCGACGTGTGGAGCTGTAACTACGGTCAGGGACAGTACATGTCATTTACGGCCCACTGGGTGAACGTGGTGCCGGCACAGCCGCACCAGCAACTTGGACAGGTCACGCCGCTTTTGCCTCCACGTTTGCACGTCCTTGGTCCAGCAAAGATGTCCGCCTCTACCACCTCTTCTTCCGCCGTGTCCTCAGCCGCCACCCCCGTGCCAAGTCCCATTACCCGACCGGCATATCACATGTGCAGGGCGCAACGGTGTCACGCTGTGCTGCACCTGGTATGCCTTGGCGAACGTAGTCACACAGGGGAGGAACTTCTGAGTGTA